AGGGAAAAAAATACCTCCCTCACTACTTTTGGTATGCCCTAAGTATTACTACTGAATAAAAATCTAGCCTAAAAGAATTATAAAAAAATAACAACGAACCGTAAGTCATTAGAGTGGCCATTTTCAGGACACGTCATTTCTTCCGATATTTTTTGACCTCAGTATTTGCATTTCGACATTTCTCCATCAGACAGAATCCTTACTGGTTATCTAACGGACCCGGAATAGAAAAACTCAAGATTCAGTAGCAGATTTTGGGGGAATGAGAGGGGGTAGCGCAGCGCTGCGCAATAGGAACGATCGCCCCCAGTCCAAAAAAATTCAGGTTTATCCCAGCATAAAACTTTTAAAAATAAGTTGATACTACGTTCTATGATCATAACCGCCCCTAGTCTCCTCCATTGAAGTGCTCCTAGTCACAATGAAACGTCTCACAACACAAAAATCCTAGCGCCGCCACTGTCAAGATTGTTACTAGAGAAACAAAAAATAACAAATCGATGTATAGATATTTGTGCTACCTGAGCATACACGATCGCGCTAATTCAACAAACACACATAAGGAGCACGGACCATGTCTACGGCGGATACAGGGATTCTTTACAAGACGTCACTCTCATATACAAAACAAAGAACGTAATACGACTGACATAAAATTGCGAAACGGCGACCCATGGAGAAAGCGTGGAGCGTGATCTCAATCAATATAAAAGATTATCGTGATGCTGTTAAATCAAAAGTTAAGAGAACATGTACTCAACGGACGCCCACACGTCCCATGCACGAAAATTACACACAAACATTAGAGGGCTACCTTTCACCAGCTACTTCCTCTCCGAAAGCTCTGATAAAATATGAGAAACAACTTCTACATTCCATAGGAGTAGTTAAGTAAACTATCTCTCCACAGTTCGTGGTGAACTACCAAAAGATCACTTTCATAGTTCATAGACAGAAATGAGTACCAGCGTCCAGTACTATATGACCATTTATGCGCATCTCTACGATAAACGTCACAAATGGTAACTAATACCCACTTTCTATAGCGCTCGAAAGTTAATGAATATTCCCATTATATAGTACCAGATGATCGATAGGTATCCCGTTAGACAGTAGACCGTCTGCTATTGAGACCTACCGTCTTACATAACACTTCATGGCTTAATGGACGGCGCCCCTATATCCTAGTGAATGACATATGAATACTTCCTTTACATAGTAATTGATTATGCAAGGGTACCCTTATTACATAGTATACGATGACCCAATAGTGCCTCCAATATATACTATACGATGATCTAAGGGTACTCCCATTATATAGTATATGTTGACGCAAGGGTACCCCCTAATAGTAGGTCTTGAGGACCCAGGGGCACCCACAGTAGTAGGACTTGAGGACCCAAGGGTACCCCCCAATAGTAGGACTTGAGGGCCGTTAGGTCAACGTTATATGATGATGTTATAATAGAATATAAGGGGTCTTATCTTGATGTTCAAATGTTGTGATGAACTGAGGAGGGGATGTGAGATCAGTTCAAATGGATAATTTATTTCACGAAGACAAAAAGTACGCACAAGAGAGATAGTAATAAATACTATTGCTCTCCATCAAAACAAAAATGCAACTGAACGATATCAAAATCTGAAAAAATTCTAAAGAGAGAGATAGACAGAACGAAAAAGAGAAATCTTATTATTGAACGAACGAAAGGAAAAAATCCAATTAACTACAGAACGAAAAGGAAAACACCGACAAATGAGAAAATAAGAAGGAACCAATTGAACTTCGTTCAATTAAGTTAGCGTCGACATAGTGTCATCTGTTGACGCTAACAAGGACCCAAGAGTACACTCTAATAGTAGGACTTGAGAACCAAAGGGTGCACCAGTAGTAGGACTCGATGATCCAAGGGTACCTCCCAATAGTACGACTTGAGGACCAAAGGGTACCCTAATAGTAGGACTTGAGGACCCAAGGGACCTCCCTAATAGTAGGACTTGAGGCCCGAAGGGTCCCACCTAATAGTAGGGCTTGAGGACCCAAGGGTATCCCCATTATAGAGTATATGACGGCCTAAGGGTACTCCCATTATATTGCATTATTTGGTCTATGTGAAGTGAGCCGTATTTTTTTGGCTAGCGTGTTTGGGTAAATTCCCTTGACCAAGATAACGCTACTCTGATTTTGCTTCTAGTATTTTAACTATGCGTCAAGAAGATCTGAAATTTTAACCATAATCTTGAACAAACATATGTTATATATTAGCAATTTCAGATGTTGATGGCACTTCGTTAAGAAATTCGAAGCCAACCAAAAGTAACACTACCTTCCACTGTCAACGAGTCACTAGTAGTCTAATATCCATTTCAGATTAAAAGAAGGGTGAGTATTTTGGAATAATTCTTGATAGGAACTAGATAGAAATCTGCGGTTTTCACCGTTTAAAAGAGGAAATGAAACTGCATCGAATCCGTAATACTAGATTTTTTTGAAACTTTTGCTTAGAGTCACTGGCCAATTTTTTAAAAAAATCAAGGCTTTTTAATAGATTTAGAAGGTGGATTTTTCGTCAAAAAATCATAAAAATAGTCAATTTTTCGTAAAAAATCTGCTGAAAATGCTCAGTAAAATATTAATAACTTGTGATTGGCTTAACATTTTAACATCACACTTATATAGACTATTGAACTTTAGTTAACGATTCTAGTGTACTACTAAAAATTAAAATTTCAAAACTTTCACATTACACAATGTTTTCTGTTTTAGAAACTTGGCTGGTGGTCCTGAGAAAACTTGTCAGAACACTCTGGTATAGAAGATTCGATGCAGTTTCATTTCCTCTTTTAAACGGTGAAAACTGCAGATTTCCATCTAGTTTCTATCAAGAATTATTCCAAAAATACTCACCCTTCTTTTAATCTGAAATGGATATTAGTTACACCACTAGCTAGTATATTAGCATGATATGTTTTTCTTACTATCATCAGAACAATCAAAAGTACCATTTAAAATTTGATAGTTCGGACTATAGTTATAGCACTTGTGTAGGACTAATCATTCGTCATTGTTTTGATTGTATAGCTCGTCTGAAATCAGTTTGTACAGCAACGCACATGAATTGAGTGTTATCACTGGATCTTAAAGCTCTTCTAACGAATAGATATCTAAACAAAATGAAGATAACTCAGGTCGAGCTTACTCCCTCAGATTCCGACATGAAGTTATCGGATGTTGGAAAGTGTTTGAATGGTCAAAATTCTACCAGTTGCTTCAGTTTTGACACTTACCGACACCCAAGTTCCTTTTGGAATTCGATATCAGAAATTCTGACGACTTCCCATTGAATCCTACAAAATCCAATATTTTTCCGATAGAATCTGAGGAGATCTAATTGTCGAATTGGTCGTTCTGGAAAGGCACAATTCTATAAGTATTTACGAAATATTTATGCAAAAGATGAATGTCACTATTTATTTAGATAAAAAGATAATGCCAGGTTCGGATGATCTTGGTCAATGGTATAAGAGTATACCACCAATAACTCGTGCTTGGTTTACAGATTCTATTATTGTACCTGTAGCAATTGCATTAAAATTAGTGGATCCATTTCAATTGATTTTGTATGCCGATCCAATTATAAAACAGTTTCAAGTCTGTTTTTATTTCTGAATGATATTTATATATATATATTTGTATTTTTATTGGATATGGCGACTATTTACGGCGGTATTTGTCTATTATTTGCGATTGAAATATCTCGTCAAATTATATTTTCTCTACCAATATAGTTCACGTTTAGAAACAAGTAAAAAGACATTTCTTCCATTCTATTTTAGTTTGTTTCTTTTTTTGAATTAGGTACATTTAAAGGTAAACCAGCTGATTATATATTTTGTTTAATATTTCTTTGGATATGTAACATCATTGTGGGTTTGATTATTTCAATGCCTGTAAATAAGTATCTGTTAAATTTAATTTGAATCAATTGATTTATTTTTAAAAGGGATTGATGGATAGTATGGTTATGAGTGTAGTTTATATTTGGTGTCAATTAAATAAGGAAACAGTCATGTCATTTTTGTTTGAAACACAATTCAAAGCAATGTATATGCCATGGGTAATTATGCTATTCTATTGGATTGTTGAAGGATCGTATGTTGATTAATGTTTTCTTTATACGAAATTTTGAATATTTTAATTTAGATTTCGAGAGAATTTGTGTGGGATTATTGTTGGTCATCTTTATTTTTTTCTTGCCTTTAAATATCCACAAGAGTTTCGAGGTGCACAATTACTACGTACGCCTCGTTTTCTGTACGTATATTTTCCAGGACGATCATTCCGGCCTTCGGAAACGATCAAAACCCGCCGGTAACCACGGGAAAAATCATCGGATCCGGCAGGAAAGCTTCGGAAATCCATGGAAGTGGAAGCAGTATTCCAGACCGGAAAATCAAGGAATTTTTCGGGCAAATTCCGGTCGTTTCCTACTGGAAAGAGCAAAGATTAGGTGGGAAGACGCTGGAAAAATCTGAAGATTTTCCGGACCAGAATACTGCTTCCATGAAATCGACGGAATTTGCCAGAACTGATCGTTTCCTTCGCGGACTGCCCGACCTGGGTTTAACAATAATGAAAAAAATATTACCCAGGTCGAAGATTCCGTTCATCGGATCCCACCGGATCCTGCAGGAAGATGAAGGAAAATTCACCAGTTTCTGCGGGAAAATGTCGGAAGTCATTGTCCGGAAGTTACCGGAAAAAATCTGAAAATTTTCCGGTCGGAATACTCCCGCCCTGTTCCGGCGACTTCCGGTGTTTTCCTGCCGGAACCGGCCCGTACTTCTCGATCTGGGTAGAATTGTATTTGTAGATATCGTTATTTTCCAAGTGAACGAAGTAGTTTTGGTTCAGGACCAATATATCGTCATGAGGGGATACTACTGATGATCCTACCAATCGTGATCGTCGCGTATTCGGTGGTCGTGGTCATGTTCTTGGTACTCGTTAAAAAACTTGTTTTCTTCGAATTTTTATAATCTATAGACACACACATGCTTATCGTTTACACCACATCCTCTAGAACTCACCTTTTTTTTCTGTTTTTTTTATGTGACATTTACTTATCTTGGATGGATATTGAAAGAAGAGGAGGGAGAGAAAAACAAAATAATAGAAGCAATCATTCATACTTTTGTATTTTATTATGATTACAATGACGAACTAGAGAACTAGCGTTACTGCTATCCTAGGTGTGTACGATGTTCATTTCATTACTCCATCAACTAGTCGTGCTCATATCACACGAAACACGCCACTATATGTGAGAGCATAATGTATAAAGTACAGAACAAAACAGTAGAGAAGGATACGAATATGCATATACGCAATATACATAATCGAAATTTCCTCATACAAATGATATCATGTAAGATTGATGTCACCCAAGAATGATATCATATAACGACAGTGTATTTACCGATACAAGTATTAAATCAGTGGAGATCATTTGACGCATAATTATGAAATATCATAAAAGAAAATCAAGAAATTTGCTTTATAATATTATGTGTGTTATTAGTTTGATATTCTTAATTATATCTCTATATTTTACTCGCTCTAATGTTGATATTACTAGATTGAAAGATTGAGCACATGAACGGTGTACAGATGTAGTAATTTGTCTAAAAGCGTTCAAATATAGAATGATTAACAAGGCAAAACAGCTTTCGAATTCTAATAAAAGTTTTATCAGAAGTTCTTACTAAAGAAAATATGTGCAAAAGTATGTCTCTGTGGAGTGCTGTTAGCTCTCATATATACAGAGCCAAAGGACAAGCAGTGTCATTGGTCGAATGTGACAGAACGAAGAAAAAGATGCCCTTTACGGAACTCGAACTACGTACCTTCTACTATCCGGGCAGATGTCCTGAGCCAGTTAGACTAGAAGGGACAACTAGTCTTCTTTAGCGTCACAGTGTATCATGACTGACGCTAACAAGTGCTCCCATTATGAAGTTATTCATAGAAATTATTCAATGTGCTTACCATCTTAGTCTTTGTAAACTTGAAGTCTCTTGGGTACTGAGTGGCAAGCGCTTTGACAATCTTTCACCGGTAAACTTCGTATTTCAGTGCGTAAAACACCTTTTAGTTCTTGAAGATTTTGAGGTTTCGTCGCGTAATACGCTTCTTGATCACATCCCATAAAAAGAAATCAGTCGGTGTAAGGTCTGGAGATCGTGTCGGCCAATCAATTCAACCACGTCGACCAATCCAGCTGTCAGGGAATGTTTTGTCCAAAAAATACCGGACAGATCGAGCGTAATGTGTCGGTGCTCCATCGTACATATAAACTACGTCTTCTAAATTCATTCACTTGAAATAGAGGGCACAATATCTTTTTGGAGCATGTCCAGATAGCTGTCTGCAGTAATGTTATCATGAAAGAAGAACGGTCAGATGATGCCACCAACCCAAATTTCAGCCCGCACAGCGATGCCCGGGCTATTCATTTCTTGAGTAATGATAACATGAGGATTTTCTATAGCGCAATAAACGCAGTTGTGCGGATTGACATGACCATTCAACTTGAAAATGGCTTCATCAGCCTAAACAATTCGATCAAGCAAGGAAGAGTCGTCAGCCAATAAGTTTAGAAAAGTGTCGGCAAATTGACAACATTTGTTAGAATCGTCTTCGTTCAAAGCATGTAGCAGTAGTGGACGGTACGGTTTCAATCCCAGTTCTGTCATCATTCGTTGAAGATTACTTCTGAACAGATTCAGAGGCAAAGAAGCTCTTCTTGTTGAAGTTGCAGGACTTTCTTCAAAAGTAGCGTGAACACGTTCTTTGTTCTCGTCGGTACTAACAGATCTAGAACGACCAGATCGCAGTCTATCTTCGAGGCTACCAGTTTCGACAAACTTTCGTACCAGACTCAAAATGTTCTTTGATGTTGAAGGAGTACGATCAAAACGATTTTGAAATTGACGAACAACTTCAGCTGCATTTTGGTGAATGGCGTACCATTTCACAATTTCAGTTTTTTCACGTAACGACAAACGAAAACTTTTACTCATGGTGAAGAAAATGTGGAAAAAGGTCGAGTTATACAAACAACAGAAAATGTAAAGAGAAACAAAAAATAAACCAGTCGATAAAAGAGATAACAACTAGTATTGTTGTCTTCTAGATGCCACTCCTCACACATATAAGTACTATAAGACAACAAACAATAATGTTCGCTTTCTTTTTTTGACCTACACTATATTTGTATGTTCTTGGATCAATTACTACATCTACATACCGTTCATATGCTCAATTTTTTATTTATCATACCTGGCATATGTGGTATAAATACCAGGCCTAAGCAACAATCTATAAAATAGAACTCGAAAAAAAAATACCATTTTTCCTTACTTTTGGGTCACCGGGTATAAATAAATTTAAAAATAAATATTTACTGTATGTATTTGCATTGATTTCATCGGGCATTTCAGTAATTTGTACTTCAAAACGACTTTGAATTTCATTCAGAATTTCTGCATCATTTTCATTAGCAACGTATGTTATTGCTATATCTTTTGTACCAAGCCGACCAGCTCGAGCAACGTAAAATTCAATATTTGAATAAAAAAATCAAAAATCTTTTTAAACATACTGGATGAAGATAAGTATCTATATCTTCTGGCATATCATAATTAAATACAATATTAACACGATCAATACCCATATCACGTTCAAATAAATTTGTTGCCACAAGGACACGTGTTCGAAATTCTTTATAACGTGTCTAACTAGAATAATTGTATTATTCGCTTACGTAATAGAACGAACAAATTCATCGTCGTCTAGTGAAATGACATACTTATGATATAGATATAAACTGTCGTTGTCTGATTTGACGAAAATAAGATCTAGAAGAATGATAGAAATAAAACAGTAAATAACAGTCGAAAGTGATCACTTATATAATCTATACCTATATATATATATATACAGTAAAACCTCTATTAGTGGACACCTCTCATAGGTGAACACCTCTGATTTTGAACAGGGGTTCGGTCCCACGGAGCGATTTTTGCTGAAAATACATCTCCCATAGGTGAACACCTCCACTACTCTGAATTTGAACGCGCTTTTCACAGTCCCGATTGCTGTTATAACCTCTCTTAGATGAACACACGTGAATTTTTTTCTCTCTCTCCACTCTATTATTGTCGACTAGTGCACTAAAATTGACTATTTACCGTTTTTTTCACAACTGTGCATATCAAGCGAACAATGACATCTCGACATCATCTTACACTAAAAAAAAAATTCAATTAATTAATGATAGCAATGGTGGTAATGGTTTATCACAGCGTACATTAGCTGAAAGATATAATATTTCACTTGGTTCTGTATCTAATATATTAAAACGAAAAGAAGAATATTTACATGATTATGAAACTAATCAGAATCAAAATGTTAAACGAAAATTCAAAAGTTTTGATTCAGTAAAACTTGATCAACAAGTTTATGAATGGTTCGTACATCAACGTTCAAAAAATATACCAATATCCGGAACCATCTTACAAGAAAAAGCACGAGAAATAGCAAAATTATTAGGTGATAATTTTGATGAATTTAAAGCATCCAATGGATGGTTAGAAAAATTTAGAAAAAGACACAATATTTCTCATCGTGTTATTAGTGGTGAAAGTTCATCGGTGGATGTTACAAGTGTAAATGATTGGATACAACGGTTACCGAACATTACTGAACATTATGAAGCGAAAAATATCTTTAACTGTGATAAAACTGGATTGTTTTATAAACTTTTACCTGATAAATCATTAACATTAGATAGAGAGAGTTGCAAAGGTAGAAAAAAATCGAAAGATCGAATTAGTATCTTATTTTGTTGCAATTCGACTGGTGAAGAAAAATTAAAACCTCTCGTGATAGGTATTGCATTATTTTTTAAACACTGATAAAGTTCGTTTTTATTGCTTTAGAAAAGAGTTTGAAACCACGATGTTTCAAAAACATAAATGTGGATAAACTTCCAGTTCATTGGTATGCAAATAAATCAGCATGGATGAACACCAAAATTTTCGAGGAATGGCTTTTAGATCTGAACCTATCAATGAAACAACAAAATAGAAAAATCATTTTATTTATGGATAATGCACCGTGCCATCCAACTGATATCGAATTATCACATGTGAAGTTACAATTTTTTCCACCAAACACGACGTCAAAATTACAACCATTAGATCAAGGTATAATACGTACGTTTAAAACATATTATCGTAAACAGGTGGTTAAATACGTAATATCACGTTGTGCAACTGCTCAATCACCTGATGATATTAAAATTACACCATTGGATGCTATTTATTCGGTCGATGCTTCATGGCAAGCTGTTTCAGAACTTACAATACGAAATACATTTCGTTCAGCAAGTTTTGAAAATGAACCACATGGTCATATGACCACAACAACATTGGATAGTTCCACTACAACACCAACAGAAACAATAACGATAACTGTTGATGAACATGATGAACAATCAAACATTTTAGATAATCTTTTACAGCACATTACTATTGGTGGTCAAGCAATGAAGGCAGGTGATTTTGTTGATATAGATAATGATATACCTGCGTTTAATAAATGGTTCGATAGCTGTGAAAATATTTTAGTATGTGATGTAAATGAGCAAGATGATGATGATGATAGTAATGCTGTATCTACAGAAATACCACCAAAAATAGCAGAAGCAATGGAAATGACACAAAAGCTTCGTTTATTAGCAACAACACAACATCCACAATTACATAAATTAATTAGTGAATTAGAATCAAAATTAATTGATGTTTATATTGATTCAAAAAACAAAGACAAACAACTATAGGGAACTTTTTCAAATAGGACTAAGTTTTTTGTTTTGTTGTAAAGTTGTTCGATTCAAATAAATTTAAGTGAAAGAAGACGAACAGGAGAGAAAATGGTCTCTAAATACGTCAGAACTAGTAGAGAAGCTCCGTTTCTGAATCTTTACTTCATTTTGAAGTAAAATGTATGACATCTCCCATAGGTGAACACCTCTCAAAATGAACACTTTTCAAAAAGTTCCAACAGTGTTCACTTAAGAGAGGTTTTACTGTATATATATATATATATGTTGTAATCGTCAGAAAAACGTTATTTTTCATATACTTTGATCACAATAACTTTATTTAAATTCATTGATTTTCTTTGTAGATGGATAATAATAATTCTCATCCATTGTTTTCTTTCAGTCATGAATGTTCGAAAAGATTTTTGGTTTTTTTTATTCAGATATTGAACATTAGGTTACTCGTGCTGGTCGATTTGGTACAAAAGGTTTAGCAATAACATATGTTGCTAATGAAAGTGATGCAGAAATTCTGAATGAAATTCAAAGTCGTTTTGAAGTACAAATTACTGAAATGTCCGATGAAATCAATGCAAATACCCATAGTAAATTTTTTTTTTTAATTTATTTATATTCTAATAATTTTCTTCTAGGTGAAAGTCGTCGTTAATTATCAGATCTTATTAGTTCAAACGAAATATATAAACTCTTTTTTATCTCATCTCATTTATTGTCATTATCACTTTTCGTTTGTTTTTCTTTATTTTGGTAATAAATTTGTGTGTAGATGAAGTAGAGAATATGAATGTATTACTCTGATCGTTCAAACACTGTCTTCTTTTTTTCTTGTACTTTTTCTTTGATGGTTACAGCCAAGAACAACAATAAAAGATTTTTAGAAACATACACATGTATTAGAGGTTAAAAATAACATATGAGAATCGCTTCAGTTCGGTTTTTTTGTAATGGTGTGGTGCTCTATCTTTTTTATTTGTCTTGCTGTTCTCTTTGTTGAAGATCAAAAATGTCTATGATGGATAAAATCTATCTTGAACCAACAGAAAGTTGACATATAAGACAAAGTTTTCTTCGAAGGTATTTGTTTTATGTGATATGGAATTTGATATCCTTGGGAAAGAATTAACTCAAGAATATTGATATATTTCTACTTGTCTAGCACATGCTTTCTTTTGTGTATAAATAAAATTCAATCATTCTTTGCTATTCTTTGTGAGACTTTGGATATTACTAATATCCTTGATGAGATAGATTAAAGAAAAATTTCGTTTTTTTTTCATATGATTTCAGAAGAAATGAAACGAATGGACTCAAGTTATCATTTTTGTAGTGTTTATCTTTTTTATTTTTTTAAGTTACTTTGCAAGAATTAAAATAATCTACCTAATTTGATGTTGCTATTGTCTTTTTATACATATTGTTTTTTTTTAAGTAAATTAATGTTTGATTTAAATAAATACACAATTATAACGAACAAAGAGCAGCAAAATTCAGCTATTAGTTAAAAAAAATCGATGAAATTAAATCATTTTTTTTCGAAAGAAATCGTTTAATATAATAGATTGCAATAAAGAATTATTGAAATGCAAAAATATACAATGCTATTCACTTTTCAATACTCTTTCTAACAATATACTTAAAAACATCAAAATTTATAACAAAACATTTCTCTAGTTAGTAATTAATAAAAAATTTTATAATAAAATCTATCCCGTTCAAATTTTGCATCTAATAGGATATTTTTGAAAATTGTCTGTTTTTCGGTAACGATATGATTGGCAAAATCCTTGACGCATCTTACATTTTTACTTGATAGCGAAAATTTCAAGTTCCTTCTTTTTCTTCTTCATGCTACAATCAATTAGATCTAGAATAAGTGGTTTGTGTAGAGCTTGACTCTAACTTTATATAGCACTCACAAGATGTCATTTACTTCCTTTCTTTCGCAAGAAAACACGAAAGTAAAAAGTATCTTCAACTTTTCTGGTCTACTTTACGTACATGTATTTTGTTAATTATCTTTCATCAACATCGATTCTGATTGTGCAAGTTCTTAATTAAAGAGAGACCCAAAAAAAAACAAAGAGTGCCATGACAAGAATTCAATGGGAAACATTCATAAGGGTACCTACACTCAAAATGAAGATTTTTCTCTTAAATGCATTCGGACAGATTCTTAGATTTTTTTTGTGAGAGTTGAACAGTTTCAGTTCTACTCCACCAAAATATCTATAATATTGAGAAAAGTTCATAACAGTTAATTGAATTAAATGATATTGTTCAAGATAAAGACCAATTGTTCTAATACAATCTATTAATGAGTATGTTACATATAGAAGAGCTAATATGAAAGAAGAGCTATTTAGAATTTTCTCAACGGACTTTTCGGACATTTCTCATAACCTTTTAATTTCGTTAAGAAGAAAAAACATCTCTTCAAGTCATCATCTTCTATTCGCTAGAGACAATATATTGTATATATTGTTTTCGCTGATGACAATCTATATCTCAGACAAACAATAGATCGTCTTTACTATTTACTTTGATTCATCATAGTAACATAGATTTTTATTAGATCAGTTTATTTACTTTTTGAAGTAAATGTAACAAGCAAATTTCAGTTTTGTCTAACAACTTGCCACACCCTCCCTTCCTTTACGCCTATCATTATGCACGACGAACAAGAATGTACGAAATATGAAGGAATAGGAAATATATCAATTAATACTCGTCAAAGAAAGATTTTACTACAGAAAATAAATGATTAAATCTGATGAAATACATATTGTGATAGCAAAATAAAGCGAAAATCTGCATTTTCCCATAGGAAAAACTCATATCGCACGTTTGCTTAGACTAACGCTAGCATATTGCAGTACTCATAAGAACTGGCGGCAGCAGTTACAGCATTCGGTTTCAGGTATAAACGATTGCAGAGGGTGTTTTCTATTCAAATTCGAATTATTTATTCGAAAGAATTCAAATTAATCGAGAAGAAAACAGTTTCAGAATATATTTTATTAAGACAAATTTTTGTAGCACCATCTATTATAAAAAAAACTTATTTTATAACAGAGATCGATATGGACTCTGTGGCTAGTACACGCAACTCAGACACATCAACGTCGAAAATAACTCTATCTACTCGAATTGGTTTGAAAAAAAGCATTATTCTCATTGAAGCCAAATTCTTTCAAGTGGCTTCTTAGACATCGATCAAGATCACTTGAAGTCAGACAGATTCATATTAGAAATTTTGTCAAGTTCACTTCACTCTTGTTCTTTGTGAGAAGAATGAGAATCGTATGTTAATCTCATAATAATTCAATGTTGATATATTTCTGGATGCCGTTTAGTATGACGGTATTACAAGACGAAGACATTACAGATGTAATAACATTAACAACTGTAACCATTTATTGACTATTATATTCAAGAAATAACTTCTTATAAGTAACTCATATGACAAAAGAAAAAAGTAAATATTATTTATTAATAGTTAAAGGTAGAGTTTCATGCAATATTTATTCTTTTATACTCACAAGAGATAATTATTATAAAAATATTCAAAATAAAAAAACAAAGAAAAAGTTTGTCTTATTGATTTTTCAGTCTTATTTTCAAACGTATTGTTTAGGAAATATTTGGAAGACTTGCTACAATGCCTTATTATTAATAAAAACACGAACATCATCCATACGATAATCCAATGTGATTGGTGATCCTTGTTTGATTGTCATAACATTTGAAAACGCCTATTTTCATACATTAAGAAAAAACAAACAAAATTTCTACACATATTCATATTATGTCAATATTATCTCTTTCTTGTTTAACAATTTTAACTGCATCTTTACCATTTCTACCAACTAATTCAGGCCATTGAGTTTTTTTAAGAGTCGGTATTGTACCTAAAATTATCAAGAAATATTTAGTAAAAATAAGTTGTTTTTTTCTCTAACTTTTAACAAGTATAACAGGTAGATCAATAAATTTTGATCGATCAAGATCAATTGAATTTACTCTTATATGAACATCATTTATATATAATAATTCATTATTTTTATTTATTATATTGACATGTTAGAAATAAAAACTTCCATCAATTATTTGTTTTGGTTTATATTTTATTGGAAATACCATTGGATAATCGAATATCTTTACCTGTATATATGTGGAATAACTCTTGCTGGAGCATCAGCAAGTGTTCTTTCTTGTAATTCAACTGTCAATATTCCATCAGGTTCAATTGATATACGTTAATCACTAGGAAAAACAACTCGATCACATAAACTAAGATTTTGTTCTTTCTTTGCAAGAATTCTTGCATCTTAAAAATAAAAATATATCAAAAGCATGTGGAATTTTCTATAGACTTACCAGTTGAAGAAATCAAGTAAATACCACCAATAACAATAAGTTATATATTGATGATTTAATCTAGAAATATATCATTTAGAACTTAACTTACTTTTCTAAGAACAATTATATCAGTTGACCATATCTATACGCCTGCATAGATTTTATATAGAAAGAAAAAAAACGAATGATTTCTACGCTACAGACAATATATATAGATAGATGATATATAATCATGGTGATATGTGAACAGTAACAGAATAACTTATCTTGTTTTTCCATAAAGTATAACGGCTTCTTCTTTATAGTTAAAAGTAACTAGTTGTGGAAAATAAATGATAAGAGATAGATATCTCGAGCATGAGAAATGATTGCAATTGAAAAATGATGACGGATATGTGTTGTTCTGTCGTGCACATTATTGCAAAATAAATATATCACTGCCTTTTTTTTACGTTCTTCCGAATAGATGCGCAACGATTACTAGGAAACAAACTAATTAATTAATCATTCGTTCGAGTTCGTTAAAAGTATTAGTGTACGTTGAAAATATTGAAGATAATCGTTATCTAGGAAGGTGAGAATGAAAGACGTATTTCGTTGTCATATTATAATTGAAGCATCATCTGATGGTGATGTTCAACAGCAGTGTGGCAATCGTCCATAGAATAGAACATTCGAATGGAAAACATTTATTGATAATACGAACAGTAGGAAATCTAATGATATAATTCAATGAATTTTATGATGGTTTGAAATAAAATAAGATAAAAAATCAAATGAAAATTTATCCGTTTTTCGTACGTGTCTTTTTCTAGGGAAGATCTGTTGAGTCGAACAGATCTAATAAATGAACAGTTTTTAAATAGATTTGTTATTGTGGCAACACATTATCTTGTTCAAGGATTAGCACGAGGTTTGATAAACATATTCAACAAAAACAAAAATCCGTTTTTTTCATCCAGTTCGATTTTGTTAGTTGAACGTCTTTATTATACCGATGTGATAAATGTAGGAAACTTTATTGTTAAAATATGTTTTAGAAAATGGTGTTACCAAAAACATTTCTTTCATCATCGAAATTGAAAGATTATTTAGAATTAATTAAAAAATCCGATAGACCACAAATAAAAAAAAAACGAAAGATTTTTTTAATTTATTCTATATAATATTAAGAATTTATTTAGATCGTCGATTACGTTCATCAAGTAAAGCCATGATCACTCGACGTCAAACTGGTTTAATTGATTCATTATCCAGTGATCTTTTATTTTATTCATCGAATAGAAATAAACGTCAAAGACGACAATCAGCTAATTCATCATCAAAATAAACATTTCCTTCTAAGTTAATTAAATTAGACTTCTAGAAATAAATAATCGAAAACGATTTCTCGATTAATATTCTTTTGAATGTTTAGTATTAATACCGTTAATTTGTGATCAATTTCATATTTATATAATAAAATTTTACAAGACAGACTCGAAAATAAAGATATGCAAGAGAAAAAGAATAAAACTAACGATATTAGAATCGAAACTATAGATTACTGAGAAATTTTCTATTTGTTTTTGAGTGAATCATCTATATAAAAATAAACTTAGAAAAGAAAACTAAAAAAAAAGTCAGACTTTTCAATGAGAAATTTGTTCTTAATGATTTTAATATTTAATATAGTTCCAATGTTTCCATATACGATTTCCTAAGCATTCATTTCAATATACAAAATTCATCAGATAATCTTTATTATTGACAAACTTGAGAAAACAAAACACGACTAAATTTTAATATTTTCATCCAGATTTCCTTTTCCGGAACAGTAGTGGATTTAGAGCGCGGCCACTAGGGGCGATCGTTCCTTACTTTCGAACCATTTTTCTCATCAGTGAGCCGACACAACCTCTCATTTGACTTCAAAACAATTTTTTTACTATCTGCGCCATTGTTTCAGAAGCGCGATTTAGAAGTTGGTGCGGGAAAACATTTATTTTTAGAATCGAGAACATCTAACGTCTCGTAGAAAATCCAGGAGATAGAGCCAATGGGTTATTTCGAGACGTTGGACTCGACAGACTCTAGCTCTGATAAATGTCTAGGATGTGTTAGTTGACAAATAAAATATCTTCTATCGTTCGCAGTGGCTATACAATGTCCGAAAATTTTCGATCGAATGGGCTCTATGAGGAGAGCCCAGGAGATGTTCGAAGAGGCGTCACATCCACACTGGATAATCTATTGATAAATTTGTTTTTCTCTTGAAACTTATTCGTGACATGACTGATTACAAATAAATTTATTTACCATGTAAGAGAAAACAAATGTTTTACTTCTGATGGAAGGTTAGAATTAATAGTCTTCGAATCGTTGTTATCCTATGAGAAAATATTTAATTAACAAAATTCATTTTTCGAACATATCAGTCAACGTTCTATTCAATGATTGCAAACAATTCCATGGCTCATACTATTTTAGTCAGATATACTTTCATATCTGATTGATAATTGATTCAACAAATAAATATAAATCATATTGATAATAATAATATAATTATATCTGATAATGATAGACTATTTCAAGAGAACTACCTTATTAACAAAAAAAAACACTGTCTTTTGAGATTTATATACTTTTGTTTGTTTAAGTAGCGTTAGTATCAATTAAAAATGATCTTAAGGCATTAAATTGACTTGTAATTCGATATAAATATGTTCGTGTTAGTAATAAATAATAATGAAATTTAATATGATAGTCGTACCTGTATCTATTTAACTCGATGATATAATACGATATTCACCTCGATTTGAACAATTCAAGAAATATTTCTCCTAATTATTATCGTTTTATTGTCAATTGCATTAACAAAACGAATTAAAGAAATTATTCTTGAGAATATTAATTATTATCAAAATGAAACGCAACAACAATCAAAAATCTAAGTAAATATTAAAAAAACGTTAACTTTAAAATTGTTATTTCTCTTCTATTAGATCTGCAAAAAAATCTCTTAATTGATTTTATTCCAATTCTAATCGTTTTCAACTCGAGAATTAATTATGATTGAAATATTTAAATAATTTCTTCTCTTTATGATATATTTTCATTTACCAATATAACAGATCTACTTCAATCATCACAATCTTTTTTTTATTTACAACAACATCAAACATTTTAATTATTTTTAATTATTTTAAATCGTCTTATTTCATCATCATCAACAACTGAAAAAACAAATTGTCGTTGATCATTATTTAGTGCTAAACGAACGATATTAAATCGTTGTTTAGAAATTGATTTATCTCCAGATGAAATTGTTTATCAAGATTATCAATATTATTTATTAAATTATCTTAGAATAACATTAAATAGAAATGATCAGATATTTAATTAAACATTGAATAACAGAACCAACGATTTATTCATAATCTTATTGAACAATTTTATATCTTTATCTACAAATCAACGATTTATTACTTGAAATAGTTCCAATTTCATTAAATCAATCATCAACATTTGAAATTTCTTCAAAATAATTTAAGAATTTTTCTTTAAATTATATTAAAACGAAAAAATTCTCAATTAATATGTTTATTTATGGGATTTATTTCTTCAAACTATTTCTCAAAGTCAATAGATCAATTAACAGTTGAATATTTTCAAATTTTCTTAGATTTTTTCATCAAATAACAATTCCACAAGTGTTTAAATATTCTTTTACAAATTCTTGAAATTATTCAGACAAAAAAATATTATGTTTATTTACTAATTCTATTTGAAAATATTACGAAATTCAACAATTCATATCAAAACAATGATATAAGACCGACAACAACATTTTTATCAAATTTAAAGAAAAAATAATTCAAATTATCTTCATGGATTTACATTTTAAAATCTTTAGAATTATCTTATTCAACAATTAGATTTTACAAAAATAAATAAAGGTTAAAACACATTATCTCCTCTTCGAATTCCTATATAAGAATATTTACTAGAGATGTCAAGGATAACCCTGGACATCTCTAACCTAATACTATTTTCCTATCTATCAACTTTAGAGTCTTCCAACTAGGGTAGGGTAAGTAGGGAGCTACCAATACAATCTTTTACTTTTTCTCAAGTCCAGTTAGACATTTTTGTGGACTCGCTGCTTCCCAGTAAAGAACTACGGGAACAAGATATGACTCTATGATGAACTTTGTTTCTGAGAGTAGGGAATAGATAGTTAAAACCTTGATCTTTTACTTGTTCATGTAGACGAACGGGTGGCAGATAGAACCCATCGGGTCCAAGTCCAACATTTTTATAAAGCAGGTCTGGATTCGAGTTCGAAAAAAGTTTGGACCCGAATGGTATGAACAATGCGTAGTTTGCGATAGTTACCGAATAGAAAAAGACGAACGAATATATCCGATATCCTCGGAATGACTATTCAATAGTAGTTAAACCTCTTCCTTCAATAGAAGAGTCACAATATCGGAAAAATGAGTATCTCTATATGAAAAATATGTCTAGTTTTCAGGGTTTTCAGCTGAAGATCTTTGTGTTTTCTAAAAAATGTTTTTAATTAAAAATTCTAAAAATAAGTGAGATAGAATCGAAGATTACTTTCGAAGGTTTGCATGCTTGAACATAATAGAAGAAGCATGCTCTTCTATGACAAGAAAGGGTATAGAGAATTTTTTTCATTATATCAAAGTTGCCTTTCATCGAGTTCGGGTGCGAGTCGAAAATTCTTGGATCCAACTGGCTCCGAGTCCACGAAAACATGAACCCGCAACTTCTAAAGGTGGAAGTCTTCTTGAATTGGGAAAGGTTTAGAAAATTTTTCTCAGTTAAGGTATAGAAAAAAGCTTATTCTGCAAATTTCTAATGCCGATAAATAATTGTTCTTAATTAGGATTTGGTTTTTTTTATTTTTTACGAAAATTATTTGCTTATAGATTATCCTGCATTGAAGACATTAGAATTTAATGGACATTATAACAATTGTTAAAAGCCTATCAATCTAGAACAATTCTCATGATGAAAAGAAAACGAAAATAAACTAATGAGGATATGTCCTTAGACGATAAATCACTTTTGAGATAAGTCTTACCTGATTAGATGAATTCTATTGAAATTAGAGGACCTATAATTATAATTCATAGTTATGGATCTTTCTTCTTGAATCATGGGTGGACATTTGGAGTTTGTTTTTTCTTTTAAAATTAGTTCAATCACAATGCATAATAGATTTTAGTATCTTCTATTCGGACATATAACTATGACGAACGTAGATTACTTTGTTGCATAATAGAATATTTCAATATTTTATATACTAGAAAATAAATTTCATATTTTCACAATGAATAAATTCCATTGAGAATTTGATTATTTTCAAAGCCGATTGTCAAGATAATTAAAGGTGAACTATGCTATTTTATTGAAAATTTTATTAGAATACCCATAGATAACACACATCTCAAAACCTATTTACAAACAGTTAAATAAACTAAGATCAATCGATTTTCAATTCGGACTCTATGCATGAGGTGGTCGACTACAATCAGATATAACAAAAAACTCAAAAGGATAAATCCTCTTAGATCTTTTATTAAGATTTATATGTATTTTAGCCTTGGATAAATCGAATGATAGTATTTCGACCTGAGATTTTCCCACGGAGAAATCTCTTCGTCAGTAGAAACCTCTGAAAATTTCAGCTCTAAAGACAATTTCCTTTCCGATATATCAAGGCCCAAAAATGATTTGTGTGTTAGTAAAGATGCTAGAATTTTCTCTTTTTTCGAACTTTAACATCTCGCGAAGAAAACATTCTTTTCAGTTGAAATGTTTCGACGCATTCTACTAACAAATAGATCTGACTGTGAACAAAATCTCAGGTTGAAATACCGTCATTCTATATGCTGGTATATACCATGTCGAAGGCTAACACTTCCATTAACAAATGCCTACAAATCTCGACCAAAAACCTAAGGACATTTATCACGTTTTTTTTCATATTTCACAAGAGTCTACTTTATGCAGTGAGTCCGAATTTAAAAGCGATTTATCCGTTGAAAACGTTCTTTGATAAAAGTGAGAATAATTGTTGGCATAAAATGTTTTTTTATTTCTAATCTTTAGAAGGATTGACTAATAGATTAATAAAAGAATATAATCATCGTTTTATGGCGTATACTTGATTATTTATCAGCATAAAATGAATTTATTGAAAATATGAATATATTTTATGAAACAATATATTTATTAGATTTATTTCGTCTTAACAAAAAAAAAAGTTCTAGATGATAAATATATAAAAGAATTTGTTTGAAAATAAATCAGATTTCC